CCTTTTTTGATGCTATTTTACACCTTGGTTTTTAGCCAAATAAAATACTTGTAGATTGTCCCATATTAATACATAACAGGTCTCCTCATTCTTTAAGGATGGAAGCTTAGGGATATCCCACAGGGCCTTTTTTTGATAACTATTGACAGACAGTTAAATTCTTAACAATCTTTTACTAATAAAAAGTTGCCATTATTGCTCTATACATACATTTTACATGTGTGCAGGTATTTCTGAGGATGGATTTCTAGAATTGGATTTGCTGAGTCGAAAGATATGTGTGTATTTGTAATATTGATAACTGCCAAATATCTATCATAGAAGCTGTTCTAGTTTACTCTTCTACCAGCAATGTATGAGACACCCTCTTTTCACTATCACCTTCATAGATTTTTTTCAGATTTTTTCCATTTTATTTTTTAGAGAAATATATTTTTAATATAAGTAAAATATACAAATCTTACATGTAAACTTGATGAATTTATGCACACACATACAAGTATACACCTGCACACCTATGTAACTTCCATACAGATTAATAATACAATCATGTGCTGCCTAACTATGGGATATGTTCTGAGAAGTGTGTTAGGCAATTCTTTTGTTGTGCGAACATTATAGAGTGTATTTATGCAAAGTTGGATGTATAGTATTGCCTACTACATATTGCTGATAGGCTGTAATCCTGGACTGAATACTGTAGGCAACTGTTAACACAATGGTAAGTATTTTTTTTGTCTAAACATAGAAATAGTACAGAAAAATACACTATAAAAGATAAAAAGTAGTACACCTGTATAGAGCACTTATGAATGGAGCTTGCTGGACTGGAAATTGCTCTGTTTGAGTCAGTGAGTGAGTCATGGGTGAAGGAAAACCTAGGACATTACTGTACAATAACTGTATACTTTATAAATTTATAGTATTTATAAAACAAAGTTTATAAAACAGCATGAGATTAAATAAAGCACAAGAGAAATTGATCAATCAACAGATGCAGTAAACATAATATGTATGAGGCTCTAACAAAACATAGTATACTGTTTTACAGCCAACTTTTTTTTTTATAAGTAGAAAGTATGTTCTAAAATAACAATAAAAAGTATAGTATAGTAAATATGTAGTATAGTAAAAAAAGCCAGTACCATTTTTTACAATCATCAAGTATTATGTACAGTATATAATTGTATGTGTATGTAATTCCATAAGACTGGCAACAGTAATTTTGTTTATACCAGCATCACCACAAACGTGAGTGATGCACTGTGCTATGATGTTAGATGGCTCCAATGATAGGGATTTTTCAGCTCCATTATAACCTCGTGGGACCCTCGTCGTATATGGCGTCATTGACTGAAATGGTGTTACGCAGTGCATGACTATGTATAGAAAGTCTTCACCTCACAAAGTTCTCTTATGCCCTCCCTAGTTCAGTGCCTCCTTGCAAAGTTAATCTCTTATCTGATTTCTGTCATCATAGATTTATTTTACCTGTTCTTGGAACGTTATATAAGTGGAATCATACATTATGTATTCTTTGGTGTGTAATTTCAAAATTATTTTGTGAGATTCATTTATATTGCATGTAGCTATAAATCATTTATTCTTATAGCTATGTAAAACTCTATTATGAGAATATCTTCTCACTGTTGGACATTTGGGTTGTTTTCAGTTTGGGCTGTTATGAATAAAGCTGCTATGAACATTCTTTTACATGTTTTTTGTTGATGTAAGTACTCATTTTATGTATACGAACACACACATATATATATATATATATATACACATATATATGCGCATATATACATATACCGTGTGTGTATGTGTGTGTGTGTGTGTGTGTGTGGGTACTGTACACACAGTACCCACACACACACACACACACATATAT